GTAGGGCGTTACCAGATTTGTTGCTTATTGATGGTGGCAAGGGTCAGCTATCTCGAGCGGAGAAAGTTTGTGCGGAGTTAGGTATAACTGGAATGTATTTGTTGGGTATTGCCAAGGGAGCCGGCCGCAAGCCAGGGCTAGAAAAGTTATTTTTATCGCCCAACGCGCAAGAGATTATTTTACCAGAGGATTCGAACGCGCTACACTTATTACAGAGGGTGCGTGACGAAGCGCACCGGTTTGCCATCACTGGGCATCGCCAGCAACGTGCTAAACGCCAGATACACTCAGTGCTGGAAAACATCGAGGGGGTGGGGGCTGCACGCCGTAGAGAATTATTGCGCCAATTTGGTGGTTTACAGGAAGTACAATGTGCTACTGTAGAGGAGCTAGCCAAGGTACCTGGCATAAGCGTGGTTTTAGCGAAAAGGATTTATGATGCGCTTAACAGTAAATAGCAGTTTAGGAATAATAATATGTTAGGATTCAACCTACCAAATCTTTTAACACTGTTGCGTATTTTTTTAATTCCCATTTTTATTCTCGCCTACTACACCTCAGGGGCTTTAAGCTATTGGCTTACGACCAGTATTTTCGTGTTTGCTTGCTTGACGGATTGGTTCGACGGTTACCTAGCTAGAAAGTTAAGACAAGAATCGCGTTTTGGGGCGTTTTTGGATCCTGTAGCTGATAAATTAATCGTAGTCGTGGCGTTAATATTATTGGTGCAAAGCTATGGTACGGCAATTTTATCGATCCCAGCTGTCATTATTATTAGTCGTGAAATAGTAATTTCTGCCTTGCGTGAACTAATGGCGCAATATGGGCGTGGCACTAAAGTCGCTGTGGCGTACGTAGGCAAGATTAAAACTTTTATGCAGATGAGTGCTATCGCAGTGCTGCAATTAGTAAAGCTTGAAGATAACAATTTAGTGCCGAAAAAAAATTATACTAAAGTTTTTCCTGGTTTAGAAAAGTTTGATATAACTGACGTGCACGTTGAAAAATCAGCGTTAGAAAAATATAAGATTAATTTAAATAATGTAGCTGTTATTGAAACGCAGCAAATAGCAGATTTAATTGCTAAATACGACATAGTGTTGCAGGTCTAGTCATGCAGAATACTTTACATATACTCACGCAAAACCGTTTACCAGAAGAGCTAGCATCAGCAAATAACGATAATGGTATAATCTTGATTAACGACGCGGTGTATTTATTATTG